ATGAACCGAGAACCAACCGAGCAGCAGCCCCTCCTCAGGAAGGATTTGTCCCCCTCACCCCCTTCAGTCCATCCACCGTCGTTTCAGGCGCCATTTATAGAGGTTCGTTTCAAAACTGTGTTCAATGTGGCATCACATAACTAAGGGTACATGCAATTCAAGACATTGAGCAATCTGTAACACACAAAAAAAGATAAAAAAACGCTTTTATGGCGTGTTTGCGCCTGCACAATACCAACGTGGCCAACACTTGGCGGATATATACTGTGCTCTAGTTATTGAAAAACAAATTAACGTCGTCGGCGTTGCCGAGGTCATCAAAGTGTGGAGGTCGTCGATCTCGTCATGCTGTCAGTCAGAGTGCGAGTTGAAAAGATAAGGGTGGCGCTAACATTAATCATTGTTTAGCATTGCGTTGGCGGTGAAAGACGCATGGAACCAGTGTTCGCGAAAAGCGGCGAAGAAGTTTAGAAACTGGCGGACGTCGTGGTGCCCGGTTTTTCGGTAATGAAGTTTGGATTGCGCTCATCATAATGAAGCAACGTCTCAAAGGTAAAAATAATAATGTTTTCTTTGCGGCAACAGTCTGGGGCGTCATCTTACGAGTAAAGAGGAAAAATGCTGGGCAGGTCAAATGACGCACAAAAAGCATACGTCCATTATTTATTCACAGCCCAATAAACTGAGGCAGAGGCAGCATTGTACACACATGAACTCATGGACAAACTCAAGATGTGCTATGGAGGCTACTCGTAGCCTAAACATTTCGAAGTAAAGGACACCATGCATTAGATTCGGGAAACAAATCTCTCAAAATCGAGAGTGAGGAAGTCCGTGTCTACCTACTACCAACAAACAAGAGATGTGTTGCTTCTAAACGAGACTCTGAGAGATGGAGGAAGTAGGATGGATGTCTGGTCAAAAAGAGAGACAGCTTTTTTGATAAAAGTGGTATCCAACTTGTGAACTGAAAAAAGCGCCAAAACAGCTCTTCTCCAACACGGTTCTGCAATATCTCACTCGTTCGCGTGAGCACTCGCGGTGTGGCTGCCATGCAGAATTCCACACGAAAATGCAGTCAACTTTCCGGGGCGAACTCCTTATTCTTGTGGTTCAGATGATGATAACCGAAGGATGGCTAAAATCACCAAAAGTTGTCCGGAAAAAGAAAAAAAAAAAGTTGTTCAGTCTTGCTGTACACGTTACGACGGAGAAGACTTTTAGTTTTCAGTATGGCCACGTTTATTTACAACGGCAAACAATAAACAGGAGAAGAAAAACTCGCGTTAAAAGCATAAACCCTCAACCCTTTTTGGTCCCAGAGCCGAATATCCTTGAAGGTTCTCGCGCTTCTTTATTTATAGGCGCGCGAAGGACCCCCCTTTCTCTCTAACCAGCACACACTCAGGCCCCGAGGTTACAGAAGTAATGACCTACACACCCCAGTCCACAGCACTAAGCACCCTAGGCCTAAGTGACCAGACACAGCACATCCTGAGTGCGAACGGGAGTAAGCTCCGGTGCCTCATGGCGGGGTGAGCCCACGTGTCCTATATATATCACGGTAGAGTACATGTCCAGACCCAGGTGCATTTCGAGTGCCTACGTCAGCTTGCGCCAGTGCCTCATGGCGCGCTGCGTTCAAGTAAAAGATTCCATGCCATGCGCACCGAAAGTACAAAAGCAAATAAACAACAGCCGACTGCGTCCATCCACGGCTTATAATACAATAAATACTCCGCGAGAAACGCCCTCGTCGAAAGATCCGTAGAAGGCTCGTTCGCTTCAAAGGGAAGCTGTCACGAACAAAATTTATACATCGCGCTCTTCGGCAGAGTAAAAGAAATCACCAACAAAACGTACAAAAGAGCAAAAGAAATAAAAAATAAACCTCGAAACTTAACAGATACTATCAAAATGCCAACGTAAATATGTACACACGTTTGACTATTGCTGGTCTAGAAATCGCTTCGCTGCTTCGTGACCAAGGAGGGATTGTTTATGTTACGGCCATATGACTGCTGGCACTGCATTGGTCTGCAAACTGAAGTGGCGAAATTGTTTTTCTTTTTTTTTTGCGTCGAAAAAAGATGTTTTGTATCGAAAAATAGAAGGTGAACAATCATAGGTACTATTTTATTAATTCCGTAAAATATTCCAGCGCTTTTAAAACCTTCTAAGATCGGAAAATGGTCCTAAAACGTTTTATAAACCCATAAATGACCAGCGAAAATCCCTCACAATATTGCGTCCATGAACCACGTGAAATCGGAGCCGGGCGATCGTCGAGTTGCACGTACCCTGTTTTACTTACCCTATTCCACAGAGTATGGTGAAACGCCATCCAGGCGTTTCACCCTGTGCTTCAAAACATACCTGTTTCCTAGAATACACTGGAGTTACCATAGCAGCCGACACCAAAAGGCTGGTGCGTCGAATGATGGGAAAGTAAGACGGGGGTCGGAGGGTTGTTTGTTTGTTTGTTTGTTTGTTTGTTTGTTTGTTTGTTTGTTTGTTTGTTTGTGGAAGCGGGGTCACTGGGCACTTTCGTAACTGAGCTAAATACCACCCGAAACGGGGGAAAACACAATGGCTAACGCTACTAGCGGCAAACAACAGTTTCTGAAGCAAAAAAGAAAAAAAACAGCAGGTGAGGGCCAAAAGCGTCGGGCCGTGTCAACACACCAAGATGGTCGGCTTCGATAAGGGCATAAGCTCCAAGGTGGCACCTGTGTACGCGTGAAACACTGTAGCTGTATACCTAAGCCTCGGCACCCCCCCCCCCCTCTCCCCCCCCCCCCCCCCCCCGCCCCCCCAACCCCCTTCCCCCTTTCGTCTCTTTAGCCGCTTAAAGGGGCCCTGCAATCCTATTTAAGCGTCTACCTTATTTGCGCTTTCCACCTCTCTCGTGGTTCGGGGAACCCAGCGGGCACGGAGAGAGTAACTAAATATCAGTGCATAAATACCATTACTTTTGTTTGTTTGATTGCTTGCACCAATTAAGACTGGCTACTTCTGGTTATTGAAAGCGGTACATACGAACTAGGATATCTTAGTGTGGAGGTTGCGGCGAAATCGGCTAAGACGAAATTTCCGTCGATAGCCGTTACCCTGAAGGTATCGACATTTCGAGCATGTGCTGTCGCTTGGCAGTCAATTGATTTTTAAGCGTACACTCTCGACCATTCGAGGGTTTCCGAACGCTCTTTGCGAAATCTTTCCACTGTTATTTATTTTTTAAACGAGAAACCTATTTTTATTAAGTGACCTTTGCTTCATCGTATTAACAGTCATTACGTCCGACAATAGGACTTAATTTTGGCACTAAGCTCTTGAAATGTAACGCCCGCAGGCAGCATCACCTACAATAATCAAAGCCTCCGTATCGCCTTCATAAAACGTCATAGCAGACGGATGACGCTAACTCGGCTATAGGGCCCGAGCTCTACCTTCGACGCGCTGATTGAACAGGAGCCCCCGGCCGAACACTGACACAGCACTGGTGTCAAATCTCAGGCCACGATCGATCTGGTCGTGATGGCAGTGCAAAGGTGGTGCGGAGGCCTTCTGCTTGTCTGGGTGATGTTGTCACAGGATGGGTTCATAGTCCATCGAAGAAACAAAATTTGTGGCTTCCTTAATGTATCACGATGCGATTCCCAACAAGGGTGCATGGAGTTTCTAATGGTTTAAAGGCATAAATGTTCTGGGCGTAATCCAGCCTGTCTATCTACTTCCCGTCAAAGTATGTAAAACACCACCTCTTTTTTATTTAGGTTGTCTCAACATACTTTAAAGGGCGGATTGTATTCTTCCTGTTTTCCGTATTTTTGTTGCATAAGAATTCTAGAATGACTATAACTGCCACTGTTTAACTTAAATATGTAGCAACGTAGTAGAGGGAAAATTAATGTTTTTACCGTGAATGTTGTATTTCGGCAGGTTTATCCTTGGAAATTTTCTTTCTCTTTCTCTGTGACAACTAGCAACGTACAGTCTCCCACAGTGTGAATGACCTATTCCCCGAGGCAATCTACGCGTCTGTCTCTAGCCAACGGTGCTAAGCATTATGATTATAATGCAATTAAATGCAAAGGTGCAAGCGAGCTGGACGAGAATGACGAATAATCCCTGTAGAAGGGGAACAAGAGGGACAAAAGACAAACACAAATCTCCAAACACAGCTAGGTGACTTGTGCGCGACCAAATTTTTTCGGTCGCTCACCAGTCACCTAGCTGTGTTGGGAGATTTGTTTTGGACATTTGTGTTTGTTCTTTGTCCCTCTCGTTCCCCTTCTCCAGGGATTATTTTCGTCATCGGTGCTAAGCACACGTTAGCCAGAAACACTTTATTTCTAGAGTAAGATTAGGAAAAATTTAATTTATATGCTCACACCACGCAGTGTGAACCTGGTAAAAAAAATCTTGCAAAGGCAACTAAAACTTGCCTCATCGAAAAAATATATTATACTTGAGATGACTACAGTACACCCCCTAGCATTATGAGTTAAAGCACACAATGCGGAAATTTGCTGCGCCTCCAGTTCTCGCAACCTCCATTATTTCCCAGACTGTCAAAGCGCTCAAAGGTTGAGTGCTAAGCTTTGCGTTCAAAGTCAAGTTTGAACGAAAGCTTCTTACAGGCAGGAAAGCCGAAAAGGCATGAAGGGCTGTTTCAGTTCATACTGCACGTGGTAGTGCGTGCACATCTCTTTGTAAAAAGCGATATGGATGATTGACAAACAAATGTTTATGATCTGTTCCAATCGGTCCAACATTTCCTGCCAGCGAAGCAGTTCCCGTACAGAAATATCGTGTATGGTCATTTATCGTATATGGCCATATATGACCTATACTTGCCGAATTCTCGATATGGCTATGTATGGTATTTGTGTACGAGCTTACATATTTTGTTTGTTTTTTTAAACTCTAAGTAACTGAGAATGCTTACCGCTGCTGACCCACTGTTGTCTTCTTGTGCATTTCTGACGTGCTCGCAGGACTTGCACACGCTGGACCTGCGGCACTTTTACTCGTCGCGCTGCAACCTGACGGGGTTCCAGCTCGTCGACCCCGACAAGCCGGGGCTCAAGAATCACCAGGACGAACGGGTGGTGGCTGGGGCCGACCCGCTGGCCATGCTGTCCCCGAGGGCGAAGGAGTTCCAGAGGAGCGTCAAGGTACGCGCCAGAGGCAGACATCTTGAACCATTTGGAGGGGATTCAGTAGCGAGAAAACATAAAGCGTAGCTCAAAGAAAACGGATATTTACTTTTATTTATTTTTTAAATGGCAACTGTGGTTTGATGTATTCATCAACCCGTCGTATGCAGACTGGAAATGTATGAGAAAATCTTTGTTTCCATGACGTTCTTTCTGACGTCACGTGACACTTGACGTCAGTTCACGCGACGTCGCATGTCACGATGTCAGGTCGTAATTTCAAGGGACACACTGTCGCGCGACGCCCTGACTTCACGTGACCCGCCGTCACACGACGTACGTGGTCACGTGGTGCCACACTTTCAGGCCCTGGTGTAAGTAACGTGACGAGGCACAGTGTCACGTGGCGCCGTGACATCACGTATCCTAGTGTCACGCAGTGTGGTCGCGTGGCGTGGCATTAGTTACACCACGCCTTCACACCCAACCTTACTGAATCCTATAACGTTGTCGACAACGTGACGTGACGTGTCACCACGACTTTGCACCTTGATTCACGTGACTTGACGTGACGTGCCACACACGCCATGGACGAACACGGAATTTGAGTTACTTCCCGTTCGAACTCAATTCTGCATGGAAACGTGCTTGAACATTTCAAGCATATCACGGGCTGTCAGTTCTTCTATACCCATATGAGCATGTTTATATGGAAGAACGTCTTCGATGGCGTTCCATAATCCTGCTGAATTGTTGTATCATGTGCGTCTCAATCTCATGGGGACCTTTGGGCTATGCAAAATACTCCGTTTTCTTTTTGTTATTTTTGTTTTGTTTTTTGACACGTGTGATTCGCTTGTGCCTATAAATCCGTTTTTCTGCCGAGCCAATCTCATGAATCTTAGTCTCGATATAGATAGCCCCCTTCGGCAACCGATCCACCATGATTACGGGGAATGCCAGATTTTGTGACTGCTGGTTGCTGCTCCTGACCATCTTCTAAAAACGCACAGCCACAGCACCCCTTTCCAGTCGCCAGTTATCGGCACAGAAAATGGTTTGCCTAGGCAACTAAAGGCAGAAATTCCAACACGGGGTGGGCGGATAGCTCGACCTCGCAGTTTATTCGCATCAGCATTTGATACGGTTCAATACTTTGAATATGCCTCGGGGATAGCGCATACGTGTAATTTGCCGCTTCAGTTTCCTGTGGTATTTTTACGTTAACTTCAAGAGCTTCCCAACGGTTTCCATCCAAAGAATATCGGACGACTTACGACAATTTTCACGAGGTCTCCACCAACGACGCCTCGGTTGCCCAGTGTCCTCGAAATTAGAGTCAGGCAATGTCTGAAGACTTTCGCCCATTGTGCACCAGGAAGGGAAAAAAGAAAACTCTCTCGGCTACACTACCTCACTTTTTAAGTCCTCAAAAGCACTCGGAGAAGACAATCCCTTTATCTCCACTGACCTCGCGCGAAACCCTTTCCAATCGACCTCGCAAGTCCCACTTTTCACAATTCGGGTCCTCCTCCTTTATCGATGAAGTAAGTTTTTGATTGTATTTAGCAATAAGATTGAAATCTCTCGGGTGACGAGTTATCGGCGATCTGCTAGCAGCGAAGCCACGTGAGCAAACTTTCGTCGAATGCAAACGAAATGGGTGTGGAAATCTGTTCGGGTCCTCACACTGCTTTGAGTTTTGTTTACCCCCGATCCTTATCCGACGGCTTTTATTTGCCTTCAAGTCCGCGTGATCTGCGTGGTAATCGCATCAACGGACTGTCGGCGTCGGAATACGTGACGTCTGGGAATTTAGGGACTGCTACCGCTTCTACACTTTCGACCAGGGAGAAGCGACCGTTCTTCCCCTTTTTAACATAGCCCTTATTAAGTACAGGGTGAAATTGAGAAAAGGAAGCCCAATTTCTCGGCTCGCATACGTAAACTACGCATCGTAGAAAGCTTAAACTTTCTGAGGATGTGAGCGGTGGTAATAAAATGTGCATGTTTGAGCACACGATGTTACCAGGATAAAAAAATACAAAAGAAAAACAAAATTTCTCTACGAGCCCTCGACCACCTAAGCCTAATATTCATGAAATCGAAATTTGTGATTATATACGCCTGTAGCATTTATTTAAGTGGAAAAACGTGTTCGTTAGAGAGACATTGCGTTTGTTTTTCTAGTTGACAAGTTCGTTTTTGTTTACATAATTGTACATTCGAATTGCATATACCTATCAAGCGTACAAAAGAAATAAAACTTTTCCGTAAACATTTTTGACAGAAATGTTTTCTGGTTCATGTGAAAGCTGAACTTCGACACTTTCATAGGTGATACACTGTACTTCATAATCAACATGGTGACCCCGAAAAAAGGTTACAGGGTTTTCGCCACTGCAAATATAAACTACGCATCGTCGAATGCTCATTATCCGTTAAAATGTCGCGCTAGCGGTTCTAACAATATACTAGAAGTTTTATAACTAACCGCTATTCTATTTAAAAGTTATAAGTGATCTTCTTATATTTTCAATGGGAAAACGGCGACTGACGGAGTTCTCAAATACATTGAGCTGAAAGCCAGTTAACGAAAACGGGCGAAAACGGGCCTATTTTCCCACCGAAATTTCCAGAAAATCAGCATAACTTTCGACCGAGATAACGGTTAGTTCGGAAACTGGCACCTGGCTCGGGCCGCTATAGCGCCACATTTTGGTGGACAATATGCGTGCGACGATGCATAGTTCAGATGTGCAGTGAAAAACCCTGTAGTTTTCTTTCTTTTTCGGACACGCTGTACAACCTTAGTGTTGAGCAAAGAATCTCGGAAAACACTCGGGGAGTTAGACCTTGCTATTTTCAGGAGGAACTCGTCAAACAACGAAGCATCAAAAACGTTTCCGCAAAAATATAAAGCGTATGATTTGATTACCTGAGCACGATGTTTCCCACGCTCACACCAAGCCCGGTGTCATATCGCAGACTTTAACTCACAATCGACGAACTGTTTTTCGGCGTCAACATTTCCTCCTTTCCAAAATTTAAATCATGGTCGAGCCTTTTTTTAGAGCGCACCTCTTAGGCGCCTGTTTACGGCTTGAGCGGCGTCGGCGTCGCCGTCGGCGTAACCGCGCGGTGCATTACGGTACGCGTGACATCACTGAAAATGTCATCGGCATCGTCACTGATGACGTCACTGATGACGTCATCGGCATCAGCATCGTCGTCGTCATTGTCACTGATGACGTCATCGGCATCGTCATCGTCACTGATGACGTCACTCGTGACGTCATCGTCACGAGACCCCTATGAGGTCACGTGACCCTCGTGAGACGACGGCGACACCGCTCGGAGGGAGGAGTAGCAGACAGGATGAGGAGGTGAGGAGGAGGGAGGAAGGATATACCTTCCCCTCAGTACCCTTCCCCTCCTCCTCCTCAAGAGCTACGTTCTAATCCGGCGTTACAGGGTGTTGCAAACGGCTTTCATTTTTTTCTTTTTTTTGGGGGGGAGGGGGGGGGGAGGGGGGTTGCCTTTGCGCATTCGTAGTAACAGCGGATGGCGCTTACGGGACAACCCATCGTTTCTACTGCAACACACCGCAATTTCGTTTCAACGTCGTTCGTGCCATGGCTACCGGCGTAACATGTGCTTAGAGTGTTTTGGAAGGCCTTCAAAAGCGGTTCCCGACTTGCCGATATATGACGCCGAACGTTTTGAGTGAAAAAAGAAGCCTATCGACTCTGAATGTGCTCTGCGAGAAAGCAGACCGACGGCTATATTGCCGCATGCATGACCGAGGAGGGACGCTTCTCCGTGCTTCTGATTCACGTTTACTCTCACCCCGAGTGTAAAAGATAAGAAGGCCAGAATGACTTTGCTCAGTCAGTCTCGCCCTTACTCACTCCCGAACATTCTAAGTCGAATGTTTGAGATGCCGAGTGTAGGAGATAAATAACTGACCGTCGTCTTGCCGACTCACTCAGATTCTCCCGACCGACGCGGGACATTCACTCTTCGCGGTAGCCAGCTCTCACGCCGACGAACCGTCGCTCGCTGCTGATTTCTCGATGTTTGTTCTTTCTTTCGTTTCTGGCACAAGTTCGCTGATTAAACCTTTATTTTTTCAATTCATTGTTTATCGTCTATTCACCTTCATCCGTGACAATATTAGGGTAGCGTGGTCGACTAATTTTGCGAATATGTTTTTCTAACCCGCATTTTGTGAAATGACATGCAACTGTATTTACGTGGAAATGTAATACCATATGACTAGGGTTTCGTGTCCTCGTGCTTTATTTTTCTTCAAATTCAGGTGTTCTTTCGTTTTTTAGTTCCTTAACTTTTTTTTTTTTTTTTTTTCCTAGGAATTTGTGTTTTAGAGCGCAGCTGTTAGGCGCCCGTTTCCGGCTTGAGCGTCGTCGCCGTCACCATCGGCCTAACCGCGCGGTGCATTATGGGAAATGTCTCATAATGCACCACGCGGATCCCTCGATCGTGACGTCACTCGTGACGTCATGTGTGACGCCACGAGAGTCCCGCACGGTACATTATGGGATATTTCCCATGATGCAACGCGTGGGTAGAAGGAGGGGAGGAGGACGAGGGGGAGGGAGGAGGAGGAGGGGAGGGGGAGGAAGGAAGAGTAATGAGGAGGGGAGGGGGAGGGGGAGGAGGGAAAAGGAGGATGAAGGAACAGGGGGGGGAGGATGGAGGAAGAGGGGGAACAGAAGGAAAGAGGGGAGGAGGAGGAATGAAGAGGAGGAGAGGAGGGAGGGAGGTGGAGGAGGGGAGGATCATGAAGGATGCGGGGAGGAAAAGGAGGTGAAGGAGGAGGAGAACGAGGAGGAGGAGGAAGAGGAGGGAAGAAGGGATAAGGAGTAGCAGGGAGGACGAGGAGGTGTCGGTGAGGAGGAGGGAGGAGGGGTATACGGTATACCTTAGTCCTCAATACCCTTCCCTCCTCCTCCTCAAGAGCTGCGCTCTAATTCGGCGTTACAGGGTGCTGTAAACGTCTTTTACTTTTTTGGCGTCAACTTTTGGTCGGACAAAATGGCCTCGGAAACGATGTCCGGGGAAAAAAAGTTCCCGGACAAAATCTCCCCTGAAAAAAAGGCTCCAGGTAGGAACTAGGAAAAATTGTCCCCATAGGATTCTGTATCTCTGGGTTTCCCGGATCCTCATGGCCTTCGGGCGGTCCCGTCATATGTCCTTGGGGGAAAAGGCGCCTTGTGGCAAATAGGAAAGAAACGGCCGCAACAAATAAGGAAATATACGATTCCCCGAGGTACACATCGCGACACTGTTAGCGGAAACACGACATCGGCGCACTTTCATAATTTACTTAGAAATAGTATTAGTTGGAACGAAATTTTACCGCCTGCATTATATCCCCAAATGAGCACTTTCAGTACCTATGTTAACTTTAATGAACCTTTCACTTTCTATAAGAAAAAGAGAAAAAACTAGCGATCGCTTGTTCGTGCTAACAGTGTCGCGCTTTTTACCTATTTGGAAATGGTACGTAAGTACCTCTCAAATTTCCCCAAACACAATCATTTGGTCTTCGCTAGAAGTAATGTTTATTTAACAATGGGAAAGAACACACAATAATTTGGTTTTGGCAAACACGATAATTTGGTTTCCAAAATACCCCCCAATAAATTACTTCGGTGGCTTTGTGTGACTTACAGTCTCCCTTTCTACCTCTAGGTGGGTCAGGCCATTTGTGACCGGACAATGATAATACCATCCGAAGGCCATGGGAATCAGGGAAAACCGAGCGATAGAGAACCATTAGAGAACATTTTTTCCTACTTTCCACCGGGTTTTTTTTTTTTCTCTTTTTTTCCGGAGCATATCATCCGGGGACTTTTTTTCTTGGGACATTTTTTCTGGGGACGTTCTTTTCCGGGGACGTTTTTTCCGGTCCTCGGACATTTCATCGAACGCCGTTTCGTCGAACGCCGTTTCATAAAAAAATGGACGTTTCATCGAACGCCGTTTCATCGAATCGCTGACGCCCGTTTCATCGAATGTCTTTCAAATCAAAAGTGTGAAAGATGCTCTTTTATGCACGAATCGAGTACATTTTCGTGTCATTCACCCATTTCATCGTCAGGTTTCTTAATGACCAAACTTGTAGCTGTTGCAATTTATTTTGATGCAAGTAACCCATGAGGATATTTGTACCGATTTTTATGATTGTTTCGCACATTAGGCTTATCTCTTCACCCCCTCTCTATTTAGCCGATGGGCCTTGAGGGTATTGTAACAAATAGATAAAAAGTCGCACTCCCGGTAAGAGCGCACTCCAACTCATGGAGGCCAGAAGGCGACTTAGGTTTTGCGCAGGCGCAACAACTTTAGCCATGTGAGACTCCTAGCCTCTCATGTCTTTCTATTGATACTTTTTTACTGCCCGAAGTTTGCAGTAGCTAAAGCTGAGGTGCTATTTATAAAACTACAACGAAACATTTTTTTTTTTTTTTTTTTTAGTTTTAAGATTTAATGAAGTCAAAAGTAAGTACGTCACTTCAAATTTTATTTGAAAACTTTCGGGGGCTCATGTGTTGGTGCGACAGCCATTCACCGTTTCAAATGATGAGCAATTGCTCTCAAATAGTCCCCCACAGCCATGGCCCGTCGGTTCTCATAAAAAAGGCGGACCCTCTCATTTCTTGCCGCTATGGCCTCCTTCTGGCGAGGAGGCTCTTGGGAACTCAGCATCGCCTCTAGCTTGTCTTCCGTCAGTTGATGTTCTGCGGTGATGCAAGTCAAAAACTTCCAGAACCCGGGATGGGCACCTCCCACCAGCTTCAGGAAGTTGGAATGCCACCCTGGCGTTCGATAAGATGGCGTTCGATAAAACGGCGTTCGATGAAACGGCTTCGATGAAACGGTGTTCGATGAAACGGTGTTCGATGAAATGTCATTCGATGAAACGGCTTCGATGAAACGGCGTGCGACGAAACGGCGTTCGATGAAATGTCCGGTCCCACTTTTTTCCGGGGATATTTCTTCCGGAACCCGAGAAAAACAACCGGGTACCAATACGACAGAAAACAAGATAAGGGCCGCGGATCCGTACTGAGAAGCAGCCTTGCAGACAGTACGGTGCAAGCTGTGATCCGAGTCAACACAAGATAAAGCCGTAGACGGAGAAGTTCTTGCTAAGGTTGAATCTTGCGCGAGTGGGTACGACATACTTCAGAAGGTGAAAACAGCGCAAACAACGACGGATCGGATGAACGAAGACAGTTGCACCGTTGCGTTCAGTAAAATTTAGTTGCGAGTTAGCGCTCTGTCTGTGTCTTCCTTCATCCGGTCAATCGGTTTTTTTTTTTTTTGCTTTTTTTTTTTGCTTTTTTTTTTGCACTATTTTCACCTTCTGGTGAATAATTTCCCGCGAAGCTATGGTTTTTCATGTGCAAGGACAGCTCGAATTCGGTGCTTTTCGGTTTTAGCCGATTTCGATGAAATCGGCTCGGGGGTAGTAGACATGCAAGGTACTCATTGGATGCAATCAAATTACTCGTGATCGATTTTTTGTAACTTTGTAATCGTTTGGTCTTATTTATTAGGAAGTAATACAAAGAGCAGTTTTATTACTTTTTGAAGTACTTACTACAAGTACTCGTAACCGTTACTACGGTATTTTTCCATCCCCTTTTATTGGCGTCATTCGTAAGAGTTTTCTACCAAGGAATTCTCGAACAAAGTCCCCGACGGTGGGATATGGTTTATCATAATTTGTGGATCAAGACGATAAGTAACAGATAATTCGGTGATTCTAATCCAATAATGAACAGCACGAAGCACCTGTTCTCAAGCCAGTCGAGAACTCCGTCGTTTTAAAAGTTTAAGGTTATCGTACAAAGTAACGGTTACACTTTCAATTAACGACCAATCACTTTCCTTCTCGAGTAATCTAGTAATCTAATTAAATACACTTTTTTTAATCGCCAGTAGCTGTAATTGTAATCGCTTACTTTTTTTCGAGTAGCGTGTACAATACTGCTCGGGGGTTTATTTTATGGGTTTATCGCTATTTACCGAAAACACGAATTCCTATTATTGGACGTTTTAGCAAAACGTTACCGCAACACCGTTCCCATTATCCCATCGTCTGAAGCGGGCCGGTAACGTGTCGCGAAAGAAACTTTCGATATATTCACTGCCAGCATATGCAAGAAACGCAGGGCCTGGCTTTATCTCTTCGCGCTTCTTCGTTTATGACTGGTCGCTCGGTGTTCGTATCGGCTAATGCCACGATCTGATTGGCTGCGCAATGATAATTAGATGCCCGGGACTCGCCTCGCCCGTGGTTTTTAAGCTGTTAGTGCGACCGTAGCGAACCGTCACCTTCTACCGCGCTGCCAGAAGGAAAACAAAAGAAGGATGGTCGTGGTCAGTAGCATCATTTGTTTCTTATTCTTAATAGGATCGCGAGGTTGACAGTAACGATGTCACGGTAACTGTATGCGAAACCCGATCACTGTGATTAGCAAACGGAAACGAGCGAGTGAAGAGGCACAGATGTCCTTGATGTGGAGCTTACTATTTTCGCTAGGATTTTGATCATGCACCACGCAGCGCTCGGTGGCTAGCGCGCGGATCAATTTGCTTGGGTCACCGCATCATCATTCGCGGCACTACTTGCGTAAATTGCAGTGATAAATGTTTCGGTGGGCTTTCAAAAAAAAAAAAACTATAATATTACCGCGTGCGCGGAAGAAATGGCGTCGCAGCACTGAAATTACCGGCCCTTGGAAGCGAATGATGATGAAGCACCCGATCGTGGCACGTGTCTCGCGCGTTTCCGCAACAAATGGTTGGCAGTACATAAAAAAGTTCATTTTATCGAGAGACTTTACGCCTAGTCTCGTTCTTTTTTGTCTTTTCAATCAATGTTCTTCCGGAAAGTTGCAGTCCATTCTCGGGTGTCATCGTACAATTCTGGTTCAGAATGCACGATGAAGTATGGCTGAATGGCAAAGCCACGATACAGCCGCGGCGACACGTTCCAATCCGCCATGAAGCAGCAGTCACGGAACTCATACATGGCATACGAAAGACACGGTTTTCGTGGCCCACATGAGGACACAAATTTTCTGCGTTCTTTAGCATATACGGAGTATTTTTGCCTCAAACACACGTCTGCTTCAAAAGCATGTCTGTAGACATTCTGACCAATGTGACGGTCATACAAGGAAGAAACACGCTTCAGACAGTGGACGGCCTTTTGTATGATGGAATCGCAGTGTGCCCTTCGTCTTCTGCTATGGGCTGGTAGATGTAGTCGGCCTTTCGAGATGACGACACCGTGTTCGTTCTCATTTTGAAGAGTATAAACGCAAGTTTCATTTTTTTAAGAAAGCTTAGTAGAATTATATAGAAACGTGGCATTTCGCTTTGTTTGATAAAGAAGTATATCGACTAGAAATGTCGTTTCATATAAACTGGATCTGAACAAAACAAATATTACGCTTTGCATACTGAAAGAAAAAAAAAATCTGGTTCGAGTAATTTGCCGCAATCATAAAAAGCCGCAATCATAAGAAACTATACGTAAGGTGGTTACGGCCTTTACTCGTAAGCACCTTTTATTAACTTTATATCTGAGACAAACTTCCCAGCCAATTCACTTCACGTACGTATATTCAAGTGCATAACTGTATAAAGAATTAAGTGTCGTTCCCCTCGCCGTTCAGAAAAATAAAATGTAACGAGCTTCCGTTCTAGGTTTATCAAAGCCAAATTAACTGCGGGCGTTCCGTGGTTCTTCCTAAGTGGACCCCGTTTTATTATACGCCGCTCCGTACAACGCCGACAGAAAACGAAATGGCGCTGCCCCGCACAACCTGCACGCTCCTAATGCACTTGTGTTTTGGACCGCAGTCCGACGCAGCCCTGGCGCACGACGCAGTGTTGTCCTTCGCCCGGGGACTACAGGCTCTGAGCCGAGCCCGCAGCCTGGAACCCAAGCACGGAGCCACGTGCGACCCGGGATCCACCCCGTGGGCCTACGGTCTCTCGCTCGCCACGCAGATCAAAGCCGTGAGTGCTCGCTGCTCTTCTCTTCCAAGATGGATAACTCGGCGCATTAGTTCTTCGCGGACATGCGAGAAGAGTCTGGGAGCCGCGTTCCACCGGTGCATGCCTGCCCACCTGGGAAAGGCAGCAGACCGTCTACTAACACAAATGTGGCCACTACTATGCGGCCAGCAAGTGCTCCAAAATGGCTCTTTCGAGCATCGGAACGCAAGGACGCCAATCGAAGGACATGGAGAACGCGCAGGGAACGCGCAATGATACCAGGCAGGCAAGCAAGCGCCGTCATCGGTACAGGCTGCAAAGGGGGAGGGGGTACAAAAAACTATAGCATACGCTAAAGAAAGTTAAGACTGCTTACAAATAGGAATGCGAAAGAATTCCTACACGCAGCGCATTCCCACAATCAGCACGCCACGTCTTCCCTTTTCACTTGGCGCTCCGGCGGTGACATCCCCCCCCCCCCCCCCCCCCTACCCCTGCGCAGACGCGGCGAACCCCGCCGGCTCCACGGCTTCCGTGACGATGCATCTGCGTTGCTCTGCTTTTCTTTGTGTTTTATTTCTGAGGCGCGTCCGCTTTGACCTTGGCCGGATTCCGTGACGAAGCATCTGCGTTGCTGTGCTTCTGGCAAATGGGAATTGAACTGCCGTTTCGCTCTACAGACGGTTACAGACAGCGTCGGCTTCGCTCCATGGGACAGTTAATGCTTTCGCGTTAAAAAGCACGTGGGCGCGTTTAAGGGGTAAACAGAACGCACGAAGTGCGTAAGGAGCGGACGAACTTGCATGCCGTACACTCCAAAAAACGCTTGAGCGTCTACTTACCCGCAAAATGCTCAAAGAGCCAATCTCTGTGACCTACGAAATCAGCTCAGCAAATGATGAGGCGGAACATCCGTTTAGACCTAAAAATGAAGTCTGCGCTGTGGCATTACGGAATGCAGAGCGTCATGCTTGCATTGCGTAATGCCACAGCGCAGACTTCATTTTGAGGTCTAAATGCATGTTCCGCCTCATCATTCGATGAGCTGATTTCGTAGATTGCAGAGATTGGCTCGTTGAGTGTTTTGCGGGTAAGTAGACACGCAGGCATTTTTTTTTTTTTTTAGAGTGTAGAGTCATGTCAGGAGTGCACGCGAGTCCCGGGCATTTCGTTATCGCGGTACAGCATCTGAAGGAACGGTAATCGCCGAATAAAAAGCGTCCAAGAACCAATTAGGAAGCAAGGATTGTGAACGCGGTCAAGCCATGCTCTGCGCTTCTGAAGCTTTCAGCGATTACGGTGGAGTTCTAACCTACATTCCGTTTCGCAGATATTCCGAGCGCAGCCGACGTAAACGATCCGATGGAGGCAACCAGGTATTCCGCCAAAAATGCAACGTCTGCGTGGGTCGTCTTTGGGCGTTCCCCTTAAATCACCGGCTAAACGAATGACGTGTAGAACGAAAGCGCAGCATCACGCTGCCTTCACTGCTTAGCCGCTGATGGCAGACGCGGAGAGGCGATCGAAGCGTCGCGACGATGCAATTCTGGCTCTGCGTGCTTGGCTACGTCGGATCGCAGCAACAGCTCCACTCGGACTCGCTGTGAAGCGGAGTGGATGAGTGTCGCAAACCTTTTGAGGTTGAGGGGGGGGGCGAGGTTTTCGACATCGATAAACGATTTCGAGTAGTGTTCGACCACTATGTGCGTCCGCGTGAAAATTAAAGACGAGCTGGCACCATCTGGCGGAGGAGGGGCGCGATATTTATTGGGTTCATTGTTTCATTGCGTCTAAAAATAAATATGTATGATTTAACCTTATATTGTGTAAAAAATTTTGTTTGTTTGTTGATTTGTCTTTGTAAAATGTAGCGCAAAGTAGAGTATGAATTATATTTCTGAACACTCAAAAGATTTGTGTAGGAGTCAAACAACACTGTTTCATAACTTAAACATCGTCGAATTTCGCTGAAAGTTCGAAGGTTCGCCAAAGCCACTCGAATCTCAAGTTTGGCAAACGTTCGTGACACCGCTTTTCCTTTACTTCTCATTTACACGGCGAGCAAGTCGATCAAACGCACCTAAACACGCCTCTCCACGCTTGAAAGAAATGCCACAAAACCAAAAGAGAGTGAGAGAGAGAGAGAGACACATTGATCACTTAAGTGACCAGAGCTCCGCCGCAGTAGTCTTCATTTCCTTTAGTGGGTAAACAACATCTCGGACGTGAGTTCTTTGTTTGTTACCAGGTCATTAGTAGTTGTTGTAGTCGCCCCCAACGCGAAAACGGTAGGACGCCTCATTCGAACGTCTGCGGCCTCGAGCACGCGCTCACTGCCTTCCGTCGTGCTTCGGCTGCGAATGCATGTTCGAGCTTCACGAGACGCCGAAGCGTTCTCGCTGGACTCGGGACGTCCGAAACTCCTCCCGGTCTTTCTCACCCTGTCAGTGGCTGTAGTCGACAAAACAATGTACCGTACTATGTATTCCCTCTCCTAATTATTCAAAACGTCATTCAAAAACTAAGAAGAAAAGAAAAAGAAACAGACAAGCGTTTGTTATGCTCATGCGTTGCCCGATTCCTTGTTCGGCCTTCACAATGCAACGCTGCAATTTAATTGGCTGTGGAGTGATAATGGGAAGCGTGCGACGACAGTGGCGCCGCGGTGCGGCTTCCAGCAGAGTCATGCGGCGAGCACATCAGTTGGATCAATCGTTTAGGTATCGCACGCTCCCATCGCCATTGCAGTGCGATAGCACGCGCAGCCGCCAGCACCCGCCCGGAGGCGTTTCGGGGTTTGCGCGTGGAGTAAAACCTTTGGAAAAGTCCGGGGCCCTGATTGGCCTGTTTCAAGCACGTCACGCCCCGCTTCCTTCCAGAACTAGGCACGAGCGGCGGCCACGGATTTTTTCGCAGCTCTGCAAGTTTGTAATGAAGTAGAAATTTGGGGAAATTCCGTTTCAAAAGCCTAAAAAAGACAGTCTAATTTAGAAATAAAACTTGATCGTCCCCCCGCTCTTTTGTTGATGGTTCGGGATGTATTTCGTGAACTTAGATCAACGGGGTAACTGTATATTTTTATTACACATTCTGTCGGTCGCTAGTGAAGTGATTGCTGCGAGAGACAATTCCTCCTCGAAACCCATGGTTGGTACGAAAATTGGCGGAAGAAAAACACGTTTTGTAGTATTCCTGCTTCTATCCATTTAACCCACAACAATACATGGACGTGTTCCGATAATTCTATCTTATGAAAATTATTCTTTCTGTGTTACAACATGCTTCAGACATGAGAAATAAACCTAGATTAATCAACATGAAAGATAATGATTATACCAAAAGCCTGCTTTAGAGGTATGCGAAATAACGATGGCAAAAAAGGGGCAGTAAAATCAAAGTGCATCGGTGTTCTTTATATTTTTTCTGTTCATTAATTGAGACATATCAAGCCGTAGGTGTACTCAGCAAGTTTTGGTGTCTTTCAAATATTTGGTTGCATGGTAGCGCTCAACTATTACATTTTCACTGCGCGCAGCCACCCGCATGTAAGATAACACATAAAAACCGGTCAATGTTTTAACAATTTATAGTACTTTTTAACACTTTCCTCCTTCGTTTTGTTTCGTGACGTATATTTTATAAAACAATGATAAGTCAAGAAATCCCGAAATATTTGTGTCGTAATTCTGCCTCGTCATACTAAACGACTTAGAACCGCAGCATATCTGAAGTTCTGAACAAGTTGTGAACTAAGGTGTACCCGGAGATTAAAAAAATGAATTTACACACAGTTTCGCACGTGCATTCTTCAGAAACACAGGATAAACGTTTAATTATATCCCAGTGAAGAAAATGTCGCTTCCCTGGTTGAACCTAATATTTGTTTGTTGCTGAACGCTCGATCATCGCCCCTATTGTTCTCTGCCACAAGCTGGTGGAGGGCCTTCGATAAATAAATACTAATAATTTATTTTTAATACAAATATTGGCACTGTTCGCACGATTTCGCGTAAACATCTCGTGATGTGTAGAGTATAACGTGAAGAACGTTTGCTCTTTATGTCTTACTTTGATCATTTTGTCCTCGCTCTCATTGTAAGTACACACTCAAAAAAAAAAACATGTGTCGGCTTTCCCGCACAACACTCGGAGAGCCAATCACCGCAACTTACGGAAGCAACTCAGTGAATGACGATGCCGAAAGATATATGTTTAGACCAAAAAACGCAGTCTGAGTTGTGACATTAACCAATGCAAGCGTGACGTTTTGCATTGCTTAATGTAACAACTCAGACTGCGTTTTTTGGTCTAAACATATGTTTCGGCATCGTCATTCGCTGAGCTACCTTTGTAAGTGGCGGTGATTGGCTCTCCGAGTGTTGTGCGGAAAAGCAGACGCACGGGCTTTTTTTAGAGTGAAGCTCGCAAAGGCTTTTGTCGTATCTATGGACGACTATTGTGCGCTGCAGCGCCTTTTTTTAACGCGATAGTGTTTACCAGCTCGTGTCGCAGAAAAGCCGGCGACGGCGGGACGTGAAAATCCTGATTGGTCGATATTGGCATGACGTCACAGCCACATGGCCTCGCGCGGGAATCTCAAAACAACCCACAACGCTCACATGAAACGTGACGTCACGCGTGTGATGAAATAGAATAAAACAAATCATGTAAGGCGAATTAAAGGTCGCCGTATGTCTCAAATGATTTCAATTTATAAAGTAAATTATTTGCCTTAATGAAAAAATGTAAAGAACTTTAGGCGAAGGTGGGATTCGAATTCACGATCCTTCGGTTACGAGCAAAACACAATACTGACTAGTCCACGCAGTAACTTTATTTTTGTCTTTATTCCAGCATACACAACTCAGACGTCCAGGCTAAGCGTTAAGTATTTTGATTACCACTTCTCAATTAATACGTTGGGGCTTTTTAGGAGACTCCCGCACTCTCCAACACGCTAAGGAACAGTATTATGTTGTGCATAGGTACTACATATTTGTGTCACAAATTAAATAAAGTAT